GGGCGTTTTGTGGGTGTTGGGGGGTTGTATGGGAGTATTTGGGGTTCGTATGGGGGTGTTCGTGGGGTTATTAGGGGTTCTGGACCCAAAAAATATATATATGTTTTTTAAACGTTTTTTTTTTTTTTTTTTGCGGGGCGCTGATAACCCCCGACCAGTAGGTGCCGACCAGCCAACCAGTCAAGGGTCGCCGACGGTCGGGGTGTGCAACACTGACTTTCGGCACTTAAAAGGAACATTGAAGATTTTTTGCTCGCTATTGAGTTGAGATTCTTGAGAACAAATCTGGTGGTACTAATTTACTGCTGGTACCTCCGGGAAGCCTCAGCTTGAGGGTATTGCTGGTAGTACCTATTGTGTGCTGTCACATCTAGTACTTCTGGGGAGCCCCAGATGGTACTTTTGGGGTGCCCCAGATGGTACTTTGGGCGTATGAGTGGAAGGATTTTTCCTCAGCAGTGTGAGTTGAGGTGAGGCGATGAGGAAGTTGATAGCGGCATGAAAGTAATGCTCATGTCATCTTCTTCGTAATTTATTTTATCGTTGTTGTTGGTAATTATTGTGTGGTGGTGGTCCTTCTGGTACTTCTGGGGAGCCCCAGCTTGAGCTTATTGCTGGTACCTATTGTGTGCTGGTCGTTCTGGTACTTCTGGGAAGCGCCTAGCTTGAGGTAATTGCTGGTTTACTTTTATTGTATGCTGGTACTCGTGGTACTCCTGGGTAGGCCCAGCTTGAGATTATTGCTGGTATACTTATTGTGTGCTGGTACTTTGTGGTACGTATTATGTCCAAGCCAGGCTGATGGTGAACCTTCCGGACCACGAGAACAGGGTCAAAATCTTGAAAGTCATACTGGCCAAGGAAGATTTGGAGGATGGTTTCGACTTCAACGAACTCGCAGTGATCACCGAAGGATATTCCGGGAGCGATCTGAAGGTATGTGGCCGGAACGACGTACACCCTTGGTGTCTGCAAACGACCCAAGTTGCCAAACCAACCCCCCATTATATAAGCAACCCCCCATTATATAAGCAACCCCCCATTACATACACATCTGCTCAGTGGATCCCAGTACAGCCTCATAATAAGCTATCAAACACAGACCTGATGTGCAGCCCATATTGAATTGGAATTTTGAAATACTGCTTGGCACTACAGCATCAACCATGAGAACAGATGCGAAATGAACACCCATGGCCACATTCCATTACACATGTTTTACACAGAGTCGTAAAACCAAAGTGACAGATCACACCAAGAATCTTTGAAGACAGAAAGTAACACGACACACTCCCCGTCCTTCCCACGCGGCCACTCCCCTACGCGTTTCAACTACCCCGCGCGTTGTACATCAGGAGGATTAGAAGATCCTGAAAAGTAGATCCGACTCATGGTGTGAGGTCAATCCCTCCCGCCTAACGTGTATATATACCTCTATCCCACACCCTTCTTTACAAGCCCGTGCATAAGTGTACTCGAAGAAACCGAAGCCACGATCATAGCATTTCTCATTGATTGACACAGAGGGAAGACCTCCCTTTGCCAGGTAATGCCTGTTATGTGCCACAACAACCGTACAAGTTACAACAGTTTTTCATTTTCGAGATTTGAATAGAAAGCATATGCTCTGTAATCATCGAATACCTGTACACTCTCGCTTCCTTACAGCGTGAATGAAATTATCGGTCTGTGCCTTAGTCCCCGCCTTTCCTCCACGAACGGAAGCATAACTGGACCCATAACACGTTGTCACTCTTCTGTTATGCGGGAAGCATAGCATGAGGCTGTGCAGCTCTCTGCCTTGGAATTGTGAGACCCCTCGGAGTTGCCCTTTGCGTATCCCATCTGCAGAAAACTTACGACTGAAGAATTCCAGGCTCGCCTGGAGGACGGCAGATTATTTTTTGTTACTGTCTTCACCCGAATAGAACGCACGGTCATTGTAGCTGCATTTGGCCCAACTTTCAGTCCAGATGCAGCGATAATGACCGGAGGGTTCTATTTGGGTGAAGACAGTAGGCAGGCCTAGTGCCACCCCACGGCATGGGACGTTTTTTTTGCTACTGGCCTTTCGGACACCCTGTTTCGAACCTCCGAAATTTTAGGAGAGTCTCGATCGGATTTTCAACTTGGCCGGGGCCATGCACTGGTGGCTTAAATTAACCCTCCTGCTGCCTCCCCCAACGCGCGTAACCCAACATCCCTTGTGGCTCCTACTCCCCATCCCCTAGATTCACCTAGATGTACTATACCCACAGTTTCACTCTCCTCAGCCCCTCCCCTGGTCTGGTGTCCTTTTGCAATTCCGCTTCTCGACCTGTGGATGTTTATTGCAACATCTCTGTTCTCTCCCCGGTGGCAAAACTCACCTCTGCCATTTACATCGTGTGCCATGCAGGTACATCTTGTTTCGTCACCCTAGTTGATGCGTTTTGCGTTGGAATTGGGGAATCGAAGGCTCAACGTGGGCCCATTTACAAGGGGTTTCTTCTCGCTGCCGTGTGCAGCTGCATAGTATTGCATTTGAGTGTTGATTCACAACTTGATTGGAATTTATTCATTTTAAATTATTTATTAATTTTATTTGACTTATTTCAAATTATTTTCAATTATTATTATTATTATTTTTTTAAGTTGGATTGTATTGCATTCCTGTCTCAAATATGTGATCACTGATCATGGATGATTGGATTGTGCTAGTGCTTTTCTAAATGTATCTGAGCGGATCTGGCTGGATGCATCGGACTGTAAGAGCTGAGTCGAAAAGTCATAGTGTGAGTATGCATGCCCTTGGTTGGGTGGGTGGGGGGGGGGGGGGGGGGGGGGTGCTCCAGTCTCAAATATGTGATCGTGGATGATTGGATGATGCTATAGTGCTCTTCTAAACGTGTCTGAGCGGATCTGGATGCGTCTTTAACTAATGTAATTACATCCAGAGCTGAGTCGAAAAAGGCCTAGTGTGAGTATGCCCGCCGGAGTGGATTACATAATTTAGGTCATCCATCAGCCGGATAAGAAAGGCTGCTGACTTTGAATGATTTGATGTGCAGAACTTGTGTGTGACTGCCGCGTACAGACCAATAAGGGAGATTCTTGACCGCGAGAAAAAGGTAGGACGTGGCCGCATCGATGCGTGTATGTTCCTCACAGTGCTGATGACGAAACGAAAAAATAAATAAATGAAAATGTTTATATATATCTTTATGCTTCTTTCCTTTTCTACTTGTTTGTTCCAGCTTTATTTTGTTTTGTTTTTGAAAAGGGCGACGACCTTGAGATGTTACCAGCTGAGCTTGGCCTGCCAGGCTAATGGGTGGCCTTTCCATGATTTCCAAAACGCTTTTGTCCTCTGAATGAGTGGGTGGTGCTGATTGATCGGATGTTGCACGTGGTTTCGTGCTCAGCTCAAAACATCATCATGTTCACAACATCGCTCATGCCTCTGTAGAGCGTTTCGCTCTGTCAAACTTACGGTGTCCTCGGTTTTGGTGCGGTGCATCAGTAGACGCTTTTTGGTCAGTATGCTGCATGCTAATCAAGTTAGTGGGATTTCTGCCTCTTAAACTGGCATTTGGGTGAGTTAGAGCGGGTCTTTAGGGGGGGGCGCCGACCGGGAGGCGCAGGCGGGGCAAGTCCCTCAATTTTCACTTGCCAACTGTGGCGATTTTTTGTGCTCAGAAAAATAAGGGAAAAAATATGAAAATGTGAGAGCTGTAGATTAGGTCGTGCTCTTTACGGAAAAAATATTAAAAACAGTTTGGAACGTTGAAAAATAAAAATAAAAAATTTAGACCATGAAATAAATGCAGCGCCAATTCGTCACATTTTTCATTTTTGCTACTCCAACGTGTGGACTGAAGGAAAAAGTACCCTAACTTCTGTGATTTTTTGCTCTCAGAAGAATGCCTTGAAAACTCTGAATATTATTGAAGAGTCTGTAGATTTGGTTGTGATCTCTCCACGAAAAACATTTTAAAATAATAATAATTAAAAAGTTTTAGTCGGTGAAATAGATGCCGTGCCAATTTGTCTCATTCTTGTTTTTTGCCACTCTACTACTTGTGGGTGAATGGGAAACGTAGTACGTCGTACGTACCCCAATTTCAGCGATTTTTCACGGTCAGAAGAATTCATTAAAAAATCTGAAAATTGGAGGGTCTGTAGATTTGGTCATGATCTTTCCGGGAAAAAAATATTTAAAAAATAAGAAAAAAAAAAGTCTTAAGACTCTTAACCACGAAATAAATGGTGGCCAGGTAGCGGCAATTTGTCGGATTTTTCATTTTTGGGCCTCTGCCGGCTCTCCACACTATGCCATTGCCCCAGCCAAGTTGAGAATCTGATTGACCCTCACCTAAAATTTTGTTGGCTCCGAAAGGGGTGTGCGGCTGATGGCTAGCATGTACTGGTCCTTCAACGGATGGCAGTGAGTACGGCCAGAAGGTTGCATATTGCTTCGCATGCTTATCACCCTCCATTTTGAACAGGGTTGAGTGACAGGGAGAAAGTGTGATTGCATGGCAAGAATTTGTGGTATACATGAGGATTAAAAAAAAAAAAAAAAAAAAATGCTTGCCTTTGAGTGTTTGGCTTGGCTAAAAGAACACAAGGAATCCGATTACCGCATGACGGTCGGACAGTCAGTACTTGCCGGCTTTGGATCTGCTCTGTGCAGATACGGATTCGAACCGGCACCCTCAGCCTCAAGAGCCGAGTTTCTTAAACTACATGAGCTTTAGGGTTAAGGGTGGTTTTATGCACACCAGTACTTCAGGGACCATCGCCCCAGAGTTCTGGATGCATGCACGAAACTGGAGGCTGGGACCATCGAGTGGGCTGGTTTGGTTTCATGCTGAGCTATCTTGGAACGCCTGTTATAAAAGGACACAAAGCAATGCTAGATGTGGCACTTCTTATGAAAATGGCGGTTATGTCATGTCAGTAGAGTGAGATGTCATTGCGTCTCGTTTTACCTCTGTAGATTTCATAGAAAAGCAGCTATCTCCGAGTTGGGTTGGCCTTTGCAATCACCTCTAGTTATAAAGAAGGGCGTAATGGTCTAGAGATTAGACTATGCCCTTCACCTCAGGCCGAAGGCGCGGCAAAGCGTCAAACGATGTACTGTTGATTCAGTGTTGAATGCTGAAAAAAATGATATGGCAATTCTGAAACAATGATATGGCAATTCTGAAACAAGAGAACCCAACTGAGTAGCCATGATTTTGAGTGAGTAATCAGTGGCTTTGTAATTGTGAAAGTAGTATCTGAAGTAATTGGGCAGTGTTTTTGAGTTCTTTCAAGTCTGAAAATGTTGGGTGTGTCCTTTGTTGTGCAGGAGAGGGACAAAGCAAAAACTGAACAGAGAGAATATGTCCCAGAAACCTATGGTGGCAAGCCACCATTTATCCGTCCTCTGGATATGGAAGACATGAAGGCAGCCAGGGAGCAGGTCTGTGCAAAAACCTTTGTGATCCCCAGAAGGGGTTTTCATCAGAGTTCATGGAACGGGTCACTAGGCGGGGTGGTCGGTGGTTTGAAGTCCCCTCTCTCTCTCTCTCTCTCTCTCTCTCTCTCTCTCTCTCTCTCTCTCTCTCTCTCTCTCTCTCTCTCTCTCTCTCTCTCTCTCTCTCTNCTCTCTCTCTCTCTCTCTCTCTCTCTCTCTCTCTCTCTCTCTCTCTCTCTCTCTCTCTCTTGTGCATGTGTGTGTGTGTGCTGTCCTAGGCTACCAGCCGGGCCGCCCGGGTCCGGGGTGGCCAGCCCGTGCAAGGACCAGAGAAGGTCCCAGCAAAAAAAAGAAAAAAGAAAAAAAAAACTCGAGAAAACTTCCGGAAAAAAAACTATGTTATGCGGAAAAATAAACTGAACAACGTTTGCCTCAGGGTCACATTGAAATTCTTTACCAAATTTAAAATACAAAATAAAACAAAAACATCTTTTTTTTTTCTTTTTTTTTTTGGCCAGGCCGGGCAAGTGACCCCGGGCCACTCTGGTAGCCTAGGTGCTGTCACTCTCTATTGCTGTGTCTCTCTCTCGCTCGCACACACACATGCATAGGAAAAGGGGAGCTGCAAGGGGTACCTCGAAGAAAGCCAACGGAAAGAAGCTAGTTGACATATGGATTTTAATTGCAATGGATTTGTTGTGCTCCATCGTACTTGCTGTAGAGCTGCGTAGCACGGCGAACGTGTTCGCACCCCTTCAATCGACAGTGAACATGTTCGCGTTCGCCTCCGAACGCGAACACGGTGCTACGTAGCTGTAGAGGCACAACTGTTTCATTGTTGGATTGTCTGAACTTGTTTTTTCATTGTCCGCAAAAGGACTAAAGCTGCTTCGATTTAAAAAAAAAAAAAAAAAAAAAAAAAGCTGCTTCGATTTGGATCCACTGTTGTGGTGAAAATCCGAAACACACACGTTTGTTAATGTCTCACTCTTGAAAAACAGAGGCCGCTTAAACTGCAAAGAAGTGAGTCTTATCTTTGCCCTCTCTCCTTGCATGGTGTGGTTGGATTTGCCCACATCTTTAACAAACAGGTGTGTGCAAGCGTATCAGCTGAAGCATCCTGCATGAGCGAGCTTGTGCAGTGGAATGAACTGTACGGAGAGGGTGGTTCTAGAAAGAGGACAACCCTGAGCTACTTCATGTAAGAGGAGCAAAGAGGGTTTTTTACATCATGGCGAGGAGCTGACATGAAAGCAGAGACATGTCACTGCAAAATGATTTCGACCGGCGGAAGAGGGATTCGAATTGCCGACATGCGAAGTATGATTCCGCGAAGGGAGTATTCGTGCTTCATCACCATGAGATGGAGTGACTTTCAATTTGCCGATTGATAAATGGCTTTCGAATCAATGGAATGACATCATCTTCTGGAGGCTTGTGAGGCAAATCACCATGAGATGGAGTGGCTTTCTAAATGGCTTTCGAATCAATGGAATGACATCATCTTCTGGAGGCTTGTGAGGCAAATCACTCACCATGAGATGGAGTGGCTTTCAATTTGCCGATCGACAAATGGCTTTCGAATCAATGGAATGACATAATCTTCTGGAGACTTGTGAGCAATTTGCCGAGTACAGCTAGCCAAGAAAATGGCAACTACTCTGTGAGAGTCTGTGGGATCAATTTGCCGCGTTTCCCTTTCGGGGGGCTGTGATTGAAAGGTGGGCATTTTCTACTACCGTCTTCGCTCAAATAGAACGCCTGGTCGTTATCGCCGCATCTGGACTGAAAGTCACCAAGTGCAGCTGTAATGACCAGGCGTTCTATTCGGGTGAAGACAGTTGTATCGAAAACTGATGGCTGAGAACAGGTCATGGTGACCAGAGCCGACTCCTTGGCCGTCATACAGGTTTGCTTCCAACCTACCTTGGGACTACCATCATCCCAAATATGGGATCCGCAATGTGGGACTTACGTGAGGACCACCACGGTCCCCGTGGGATAGTCGTTAGCCATGTGGGACCAACATGAAGGCCACTAGGCTTTTACCGTGGGACAGTCGTTAACCAAAATGTGGGACAAATGTGAAGGACACCACGGTGTCTTGTCAGCTCTGACGCCATCGCGGATGAGCAGGGCGGCCAGGACGTAGGCGTCGGCCAGGCTCAGGTTGGACTAGACGGTTTTCACCAGGTAGTTGCGGTCTGCGATATGCATGCAGTGGCAGTCTGTACGCCTCCGCAATGGAGAACTGTATTAGACGGCAGGACACAGCTGGACGATTCTTTGGCGTTTCATTTCACCGACCATGGGACCGACATGAAGACCACGATGGTGTCTAGTCGGTTTTGGTACCATCTTCAGTACCATCTTGGAGGAGCAGGGCCGACTTGCACGAAGTAGTTGCATCCTCTGCGATTGGCATGCAGTGGCCGTCTGTCTCCCTCCATCGACCAATGGAGAACTGTATCAAACAGCAGGACAGGGATGATGTCTCCTTGTGGAAAGGGAGTTGTCGTGAACTCCCTCCCGTAAACCAACCAGTTCGCACGAGCCTACGTTGACGAAACTACCTTTCAAGGTTCGCAAGCCTGCAACAGCACCTTGTCGAAGTGGCCTCTGCTGATTTCACTGCTGCCCCAGGCCCGAACCGAAAAGCTTAAATCATACCTTGGTAAAGAGTTGCGGGCGGAACTGATTGTTCAACGAAAAAAAAAAAACGCAGGGATGTTTCTCTGGAAGAGACGTGTGAAAATCGAACGTGGGAATAAGAGGGGTGTGAGTTGCAAGAATGGCTGGGGACACTGTTTATAGGGGGGCCTGTCTGATTAGGAAGAGGGACAAGGAGAGTGATGACAGGCCTGCGATGAAAGATTGATCAGGGAGTGGATGCTGAATTGCTGGCGTCGTTGGAAGGAGGTTTGCGAGGGTAGGAGGAAGGGGGGGGGGGGGGGGGGAGAGATTTTTCTGAAGATACAGGTTCATCATGTGACGAAGGGGGGAGGACAGAATTGGCAGCTAGAATCATTTTTGAAGGTGTTCTTTTGTTGTTGTTGGAGATTTCTGAAGGAGGTAATTTGGTTGCAAAATAAAAGGGTACGGAGGCGAGGGGGTCAGGTGCCAGGGGGTTGCATCCTCGGAACTGATTTGGGATGTACAACCGTGCGAGGAAAAAGAGGCTTCCTTGGGTGGTAGTTGAGCCGTGTGGGGTTGGTTGGGAATGCCAGGCTTGAGTTGCTGAAGGAAGTCTTGCTTCGCCAATAATTACTCTTTTCTTTCGATCATGTCACCCATCATCATCACCACTCCATGATCGTCATCATCATCATCATCATCATCATCATCATCAACAATTCAAAAAAGTGTCTAGAATAATTGTCCTGCTAGTAGAACGGTTTCGACTTGTGAACTGAAAACTTCCGTAGTTATCGCCCTCCTGTTTGTCCCCCCCTTTCGCTTGTCGCTCTTCGCTTGTGTGTGTACTATGTGGGTGAAACATTGCAAGAAGTTTTACCTGTGTAGGTAAAAGATTGCAACCAAAGGCAACGAACGGCCTGAGGATTTGTTGTACGACAACCTGTTGCTACAGGGCAGCTGCTATTCGAACCGTGACACCTCAATTGGGTGGGGTGTGGGTGTGAGAGTGTGTTGGGGGGGGGGGGGGGGGGGGGGGGGGGGGGGGGGAGGGTGTAGGTGTGGGAATTTGATATGTCACATGTGCACGCAGTTGGCTGTGTATGCACAGTCAGATGGTGTTGATGACTGGTTTTGGGGAAAACAAGGGGAGTGCACCAGAAATGACCATAACAAAGCAAGTGAGAGGTGTGTGCTGTTGGTCAGGTCATGTCACTGCACTCTCTAGGCGATGCTAATAGTTTGTTGAAAATTGGCTTTGCAAGTTTGCAGGCGAACAGAAAAAAAAAAATCCTATGTGGAAACGAAAAATCCATTTCAACAATGTTTCACAAGACTTTTTGTTTTGTTTGTGACCTGTATACTAGAGACGGACACAGAGGGGGAGAGAGGGGGAGAGAGGGGGAGAATGAGAGAGAGAGAGAGAGAGAGAGAGAGAGAGAGATCATACCGGGTTTGATAACGAACTTCATGGCATGCATGTGGGCCGGTAGTATGTCGACTCAGATGTGTCGCTCGTGTTCTCCTCTATGGAGTAAGGTGCTGCTGTTCTTCATACTCTGCTTCCCTATTTCTGTGATGTGATTCATTTGCTATTACACCGTGGGGGGAGGGATATATTGATGGATGGTGGAAATCCTCGTGTGTGCTATTCGTCTTGTGGAAGGTTTGTATCGATGTTTCCGTTGTCCTCTCTCATGCTGACTGATTCTATGCACTCTAGCCTTTCAACCTTGTGGGTAGCTGTAAATTCTTGGTGTCTTCAGTCCCAGTTTGTCCACCACAATGCTTCTGCCCTTGGGGCACCCTCCTTCCCTGCCTATCTTTAATGTTTGTGTCTGCTTGAAATTTCTTTCCTCTGAAATTGAATGATGTTGGGAATCCTTCCCCATCTTGAGCTCGAACTATGGTCTTATGTTTGGATTTTGATGAAGTTGTATCTTCAGATGTGAGCTGTAGAAGGAACATGCGGCTGTGTTTTGTCCATCCTGCTGTGCAGCAAAGCTCAATGCAGGCTGTTTAATGCCGTCAAACCCTGCCCTACCCCCGCTGAAGCCGCCAGTACCGTTGCCGTGCCCGCCCGAACTTATATGGCAGTTCAAGCTGTCGAGGGGCGGGGGTTGGTGCAGTCATTGCCACGACCTTCACCTTTTGCCTCTTTCCATGAACAGGGTGTTGCTCCACTACTCAGCAAATGACCAGAATGAGAATGGATCTCTTCTTCTAGAACATGGGAAGATGCACCGCAGATTGGCGCATTCATTGCAGCAGCCTTCAACTTTCTTTTGCCGCTTTCCACGAATAGGGTGTCACTCCACTGAGAATGAATCTCTCTGAAGTTCTAAACAATGTTCTAGCCCCATGCCATATGTGACCAAAAAAGAAAAGTAGTGCAAGGCAAAGATGACCAAATGTAAACGAACCCCTCAGACTACTACGAAGAACTCCGCCTGATTTTAAAATAGTGCGATGGAATTCAAATACAATGGGAAGATACATCGCAGGCGAGGGGCTGGGGTTGGTGCATTCGTTCCAGCAGCGCTTACCTTTCACCGCTTTCCACGAATCGGGTGTTGCTCGACTACTCACCAAATGATCAAAATGAGAATGAATCTTCCATTAGAAGGTGGGAAGATACGACGCCATATTTTTTTGTCTTCGGTGTATGTTGTGAGTAATGGAGTTTGGCCCTGCTCCACCACTAGTGACATGCACAAAGATAAAAAATATGGTTCTGTATCTTCCCACCTATCAGAAGATCCATTCTCGTTTTGCTCATTTGGTGAGTAGTGGACGTATGCCCTGTTCATCAGCACAGCGGGGGTTTTCGAAACACACCCTGAGCAAGCGAGAACAAAAACTATGCTCGAAACAGGTTGTCAGTGAGATCAAAAGCCATGTTGTACTGACAAACAGGGCCTTGGTCCGCTACTCACTGAATGACCCAAATGAGAATGAATCGTCCACTAGAACATGGGAAGATGCAACGCCATATTTGGCGACTTTTGTGCTTGTCGTGAGTGGGAGAGTGAACGACCGTTTGGTTTCCTAGGCATGTAGTGAGAAGTGGCAGGGGGCCTCGAAGCTGTGCTGAGCCTGTGGGGACCTTCCAGTATGCCGGAGGTTGCGATTTTTGGGTGGGAAAGACACTCGTGGCTTAACACATGTTAAACATTAGAAAGGGGTGCTGCCGCTGTTTGGTTCAATGCGTGGGGGTGGGCCGCTACCCCCATGCAATGAAACTGGTAAAGCAAGCAAAAAATCCGCCCCCTCCTGTTTTTTTTCCATGTGCACCTCCTAAACACTCCACCACCTTGGTGGAAATATGAACCCGTCACCAGGCACACCCCTCCCCTTGAACACCCACCCCCTCCCTGGGAGAAGGTTAACAACAGTCGTGTTTTTCATCACCACTTCAGAACACCCTTCACCACTTAAGGATGCAGCCTGCCTAAACAGGTGGTTTTTAGGGTCTTCGGACCTTTCACCACTTCAAGACCATTGAGGTCTGAAAATCTTGAATGGTCCTGAAGTGGTGAAAGCCCTGAAGACCCTGAAAACCACCTGTTTAGGCAGGCTGCATCCTCAAGTGGTGAAGGGTGGTTTTCATGGTCTTCGGACCTTTCACCACTTCAGGACCATTAAGGATTTTCAGACTGCCCAAAACTCTCACTTGACCACTTCAGCACACCCTTCGCCACTTCAGGATGCAGCCTGCCTAAACAGGTGGTTTTCAGGGTCTTCGGACCTTTCACCACTTCAGGACCATTCATGATTTTCAGCCCAAAACACTCACTTCAAAATTTTCATTCCGGAATTTTCAGCTACCCGATAATCACTGGTGCCCTCCCTCACAACCCCCCTCCCTTCTACACAACCTTGAAAACAACCCCCCCTCCCGCTGCAAGTTTTTCACACAAATGGTCGTAAGTGCACAGGTGAAAGGCACTCAGAAATGGTCGTAAGTGCACAGGTGAAAGACACTGTGTCGTGAAGTCCTCAAATGACACATCTACTTCATGAAAGACAAATCTAAATGAAAAAAGGTACCCATTGCTGCATGTGCGGTTGAAAACCAATAAGAAGAATAGGCGACAAACCTTTCAATGGCTTTACAACTACACACACCGAAGAGAGGGGGGGGGTGGGAAGGAAAGCTGCATACAATGCTAACAACCTACGCCACATATACCCCTGACTCCCCTGAGTCAATTTTTCGATGTTTACTCGTAGCGGTTGTTCATTCGGGTCCAAATGGTCGTAGAAAGGGTGGTGAATTTGTTGGGGGGCGCCAATTCATGGGGAATGGGAATGGGCAGCTGTGGCTTGTGGACTGGTAGCTGCGCGTAGGAGGCCGATGATGCCGCAGTCCTTGAGTTGAACATTTGAAAACTGAAATGGTGTGGGTTCGCTTTTCTCGAATAGAAGAACACTTTGAATAGATACCGTGCGCGTTGTATTCGGAGATTATGAGTATCTTTTCTATTCGAATTTCGAGAAACAAAACAATTGTGTTCGAATAGAGCACGACCTTTTCTTTTTCTTTCTTTTTGTTTTGAGAATAGCGCTTGCCCTTGTGCTCCATGCCGCTGACATGCTGCATGCTGCAGGGCTCTCTCTCTCTCTCTCTCTCTCTCTCTCTCTCACACACACACACACACACATACACACACACACACACACTCTCACATACACACGTGTGCGCGCCGTGCACGCTCACAAACTCACTCATTCTCACATACACGTGCACACACACACACACACACTCCCCCCCCCTCCCTCTCCCCCCCCACAAAGCGTTCGGCTTCACGGCACTAGAGGAGGTGATATGAGCATCCCCCTTTAGTGGACTTAGAGCAGAATGCTCCTGCCTGTTGGTGGGTAGTGGCACATGCTGGAAACTGGGTCCAGCATTCCATGAATATCGTGAATAAAGCACCANCTCTCTCTCTCTCTCTCTCTCTCTCTCTCTCTCTCTCTCTCTCTCTCTCTCTCTCACACACACACACACACACACACACACGCACACACACACACGCACACACACACACGCACACACACACACACACGCAAACATGCACAGACAAACTATCACATACACGTGCGCACACTGCATACACACACGAACTCACTTATTCTCACATGCATGTGCATACAAGCACACACACACACTCCCCCCCTCCCCCAAAGACGTTGCACGTCAGCGCACTAAAGGAGGTGATATGAGCATCCTCCTACAGTGGACTTAGAGCAGAATGCTCCTGTATGTTGGCGGGGACTGGCGCTTGCTGGAATCCGGGTCCAGCGTTCCATGAATATTGTGAATAAAGTACCAGTCGGGACTCCCCCCACGCAAAAATGAGAAAAAATAAAACCAGCATAATCACTACCTTACCCTCCCCCAACCACATTAACTAACAAACTACTGGGTTGGGCACCCGTTGTGGGAGGCGTGGTGTCCCAGTCCTTTGCA